TCCTTTGTCCATCGGGGGGGGGGGCCGTCGAGGCCGATGGTGTACATCTAAGCATGCTTTTTTACATTTTTTTTTCTTTCCAAAAACTTTTTATCTTTGGCCAGTTTTATTGAATTCAGAATACCAACACCAATCCATTCAGTAATGTCATCTATCCATTTCTTTGCAGGTTTACCAATTTTTTTCTTCCAATCTCTTTTCCTCATTAGTACCATCTTAATTAACCACCTGAACAAGACTTACGGAGTGAACATCTCCTTAGTTTTTATGAATTCTTTCAATACATCGGAGGAGAAAGAAAAGACGCTGAGAAAGTATGGAGCCATGGATTTTTATCCAGAATGAAGTCTACATTTTCATCGACAATACACTTTTTGCCTTACTTGTTGCTATTTTGATTCTGTCTCGTTGTTTTGCAGGTTGTCTTCTCTTATTCTACAAGTGTGTCTAAAAAATCCTAATTTTCTTTCTCTGACTTTGTCATATACACTTTTCTGTCTTCCAAGTTGATTTCTGATGGTTTCGATCTTTACTTTCTGCCTCCAACTGATTCCCAAAAATTTCGGTAACACTTCATCTCAAATGCTTCCAATCTTTTTTTTATTGTCCATATCTCACATGCATAAAGCAATCTCGAAAAAAAGCAAGATTCTATCATTCTCAACTTTGTTTTTATAGATAGGTAATCTATTGTAGCTATTAAAATGAATTAAATCTTTTAAAAAATGAATAAATATTTATTAATAAACTATAAAAATGTAAAAATTGTAAAATTTCATGAGTTTGACAAATGAAAACTAAAGAATGAGTCCAGACTCTAAAGCGCACTGAAAATGGGCGCGGGTGCGTTCGAGAGACTCTCATAAGTATTCTAAGTATATCGAAAAAATAGGCTTTATTTTGATATTTAGTGGACAACTTATGAAACGTTGGTTAATTGTTAAGAAAATATTTATTTAAACCTACTATTTGTTTTTCCTTGTAGAATATTTTTAAGCCGTATTTTTTAATTTTTTGTAGTGTTTTTAAGTTTCCATTCCGATCCCAATATCTGTTTAAGGTGAAAATAAGTTGGTTTCAAAATTCAAATTATTAATCAGTATTCTATTAAAATTTTAAATATATTGCTATAATAATTATGTATTTTAATTATCTGTCACACTTACTATTAGACTGTTATTCAGTCTGTTGCAATGCTATTTAATTTATGATCGTTGATTCAATTATTATATTATTTTATTAATAATAGAATAGAGAATTTATTATAAATATATGATTAAGATTGGAATTAATTCTGAAGTTTAGTTTTTACAATAATTTAAAAGATTTTTCAGCCAAGGAAGTCAGTTAAATAATAAAACTAAAACTGAATTAACCCATAGAATAATAATTTAATTTAAGCCTTAAAAAACCATTTTAAATGGTTATGAATAAACATTAAAATTAAACTTATAAAATGCTTCAATAAAAAGTCAAAAACTGAACTTCAGATTTTAATAAAATTTTCATCAAACGTTCTTAAAAAAATCCCTGATTATTTTAGAGATTTTACGAGCTGAGTTTTATTATTAACTATTTAGTGCTAATGCTGTGAAATTCTTGGTTAACTTAATGTACCTCTGGACTTGCTGAGTTCTATTTATGTATTTGGTATTTAATTTAGATTAGATTAGACTAAATTATTTTGTTGTCCTGAAAAAAATCATTTAAAAATCGAACCCAAGTTGCAATCCAAAACTGATTATTATTAAAGAAGATTGAATTTAGATTTAAACAAAAAAGAAAGATTAGTTTGGACTGACTATCAAAATTGTACCTGAAGTGAAAAAAATGTAATAACCAAATTATTTTCAAATATGTTTGTAAAAAATTCAAACATGTCATATAGCTATAAACATATTATATAATGTTGAAGAGAAAATAAAATAATATTAGCTTGGGCACTTTTCCAAATGATAATGAAATGAATATTATTATATAGTAATAGTTTATTAATAATTATGTATAATCTAGTATTTTTGGCATCTTTTCAATTATCATTACCAACAAAAATTTTTTGTGTCACGTTATAATTATTCAAATTGAGGTACACCTGAAAATGATCTATTGAAAACTTCTGTTTCCAGTACTAGTAATGTTCTTATAGTTTTAGTACACAGGCTAATTCTTCCAAAAATCCTTCCAATATTTTTTTAATTATGTTGAGAAGCAGAGAGCTCACCACACCATTTGGGAGGCTGTTCCATACAGTCACCACTCATTCTGCGAAACAAAGCTTTTAGTTATTGCACCTAGTTTTATTAAATTAGCTCAGAGATCAGGTGAAATTTCCGCATCATACATGCCGTGCAATATTTTCAATCTCTTCTATATCAATTAATCAATCCTCATTATAGTCTCCATCCGTTATGGGTCCGACTTTTTTATTCCATTCATCAGCTTCTGTCTCCAAGCCAATCTATCCATTGCGTCTGTCTCTTTGAGACCAAGTACCTTCAGGTCTTCCTGTATGGTTTGCATCCAGGACTTTCTTGGGCGGATGCCAGGCACCTGGTGCTTAGTAACGGAAATTTTTGTATCGTTTTCGCTTTGCTTAACATGGCCAAACTATCGAAGGCAATGACGACGACATGCCTCCTTCAACGTGCTCAGTCCCGATCGGTTCAGGATCTCGGTTGTATGGATGTGGTCTCTTAGGTCAAAGTGCTGCATCCAACGAATCGTCGAGTTCGAGTTTTGTTGTCATCGGCCACATCTCTGCACCATACATCAAAACAGAAAGTATAGCTGTGTTGTATAGCTCTGAGCGCAGCGGTAGATGAATGCTACGCCGCATCAGTACCGAGGCAAATCTGCCGCACGTATGCGTCTACGAATGGACATACATCAGCTGTTCCAGTACAATCCAGCACATCTCTCAAATACTGAAATGAAGTAAGAGTTTCGATCCCGGTAATCGTATCATCATCTGGGCCCGTTGTCGCGGGTTGATGCAGGCGGGACATACGAAATCAGTCACTTTCCTCAATGAGCCTGGTAATTTTCGAGCATCGTCTGTGACACCGCTGCTGACATCGTAGGCATTTGATCGAGTTGCTTCCAACTCCAGCCCCACACACCGAACATGGCCAATGACCAGAGACCACAGGTTCAGCGGTGATTATAGTTTTTGTTTTGATGTTCGGCGAGCTGGGTATTCCAGACTTCTTATCTCTTCTATATCTACAATATTTTAATATTGGCAGTTTCAAGAGCCTCAATCTCTCCTTATACCAAAGTTTTTGACCAATGTTCACTAACTTTATTGTCCTTTTTTGTACCTTCCCTATCGCATCAATTAAATTCTTGCTATATGGATACCATACCGATGCAGCATATTCTACATGACTACATACAAAACTTTGTGTGAGGTTCCTTTTTAAGACACCTAACATTATTAACTTTTAACGGGATGTGCTCAGCAAAATTTAACTTTCCATCAATCGTTACTTCAAGGACTTTCATACAATTTTCATGACCCAGAAATATATCTCCTATTTTATAATCACAACTCACAGCAGGTTACTTATATAAAGTTAATATTCTGCATTTACTTGTGTTCAGCTTTAATTCCCATTTGTTTTTTAATGCGTCTGATGTACTTTGTAGTTTTCTCACATCTTCTAAATCATATAAAAGTCATATATATAAACAAAATAGGACCCAAAACGCTATCTTGGGAAATACCACTTGTGACATTGTTATTCAGAAAATTCTTCATTTATTCTGACTGAATTTTTTGTTGGACAAGAAATCCTTCATCCTATTGATTGCGTTCCCCTTCATACCATACATTTTTAACTTTTTTATCAGCCTGCTATGTGGAACTTTATCAAATGCATTCTCGAAATCTGTATATGCCACATCAATTTGCTCCCCAGTTTCTATACACTTTGTCCAGCCATCCACTACAGTCATTAGTTAAAGAACCGTGGATCTGCTTTTGACCAATCCATAATTGCCTTGCTAATCAGATCATTTTTTATCATGTACTTTATCAAATGGTCTCTTATTAAAGATTCCAGAGCTTTACTTCATATACAAGTTGAACTCACTGGTCTGTAATTCGAAACCTCATTCTTATTACCCTTCTTTTGTATGGCAGAGACTGCTGTATTTTTCCAATCATTTGGTACAGATTTATTATTTAATGATGAATCACAAATTATTTTCGGGGCACTTACAATCTGATGTCTTGTTTCAAATACAATCCTAGGTTAAATTTGATCTGGCCTCGGTGATTTATCTATCTTCAGTGCGTCTGGTTACGTTATTATGACCTTTTCAGTTATCGTCAGATTCTTCATCTACTGTACCACTGTCTCAGGATTAACCTTCCATTATCATTCAGTCTCCTTACTGAAAACCTCAGAGAAATATCTTGCAAACTTTTGGACTTTTGTCAGATTCTTCTGTCCATTTCTCATCTTTAGTCACCGATTGACTTATATGATTTTGTTTTTCCCTTAATATATTTTAAGAACAATTTAGGCTGCTTTTTCCTAAGCCTTGCCATTTCTTTCTGCATTTGTTTTTTATTGGATTTTGACTTTTTTCTGACAATTTTATTTATTTTCCTGTATTGTACGAGTTTTTCTACATATTGAGTCTCACTCCACATATTCCATAATCTGTTTTTTTTTCTTATCAACTGCAGCTGTTCCAGATTTATTAGGTGCCTCCAAGTTTTTTTCTTTTGCCACCAATTATACCTAGGGATACATTTACATATTCCTTCGTTAATTTCTTTTTCTGAATTAGCCACATCTCTAAGTAGTTTTTCTTCAAATTTTTTATCAGTTGTCACAGGGGAAAATTCAGTGTTTTAATGTGTATATACTCGAATCCCTCTCCCACCTTCACTTTCTAAATTGGATGCGAACAGATTGTATCCTTTGATGTTAAATTTATTTTTAGTCAATTTGTAGATGCTTCTTTTGGCTTCACATCGGTTATGGCAATCAAGTTTGGACGTTTGGACTGCTGGTTTGACAGTCGATCAACATTTCTAATTTTGTCCTTTTATTCATTAAGCTATCCGCATTGGTGTACAATATTTTAAATTTTTTTTCTAGCTTTTGATTTATTTTATATTTTGTGTAGGTTTGGTTAACTTTTTGTCCAGCTTTATCTTTTAAAGCCGTTTTTTTAGTCTTATGGATTTCATCTCCCTTGGTCTTCCTCTTGCCACGTACTTCTATTACCCAAAATTTTCTGAACTGTTCTTTACTGCCGCTTTCTTGACCACGTCTCGGCATAAATCTCTTTCTTTTTTTTTGTCATATTTTGTGCTGCAGAAATATTCTTAAATCTTTTCTCTGCTTGTTCCAATCTGTTTAAGTTTTTCCATAACACGATCCTTGAACATTCTTTTTTTAAATTCCACCAGTAATGGTCTGTCCCGTGTATTGTTATTTCTCCGTCACAGACGTTTAATGTCCATTATCTTTAATACCAAGTGCGTTGTTCAGCAAGTCCTTGACGAAGGTTTCATCATAATTTTGTGTGTCCTCAGCATTGCTACTAGTGCTTACACGTACCCTGTATATAATGATATTATTTCTTCTCCCTTCTTTTTCAAGTTCTTGTGTGCTTTTTTTAATCTTCTCCTGCACACGCAGTGCTTCTGCAATATCATTATCCTTGAATTCTCTAAATGTTTTCATTACTTCGTTAATTGTTCCTTGTACATTTGCTTGGATATCCTCAGGTTTCAAGCCAATCTTAGTCATTTCAGCTTATGACTTCCTAATTTCTTTAATGTCATATAATTTTTCTGCCTTTTTTTTGTCATTTTCTTAATCCTGCTTTTATTTCTAATATCTTCCTTTCACAATTATTGTCCGACAGATTTCACTGATCTTTCAAACTTTTCTATTTTCTCGTTCAATTTCACATTTATTGTTAACATCATAACCTTTCGGCAGCGTTAGTAGGGTCCATATGTTTGCCAGAGCCGTACATGCCGCATCTGTCACACTTCATATCTTTCGATTCTTTGACTTTCGACATATATCTGTAGAGGGTTTAATTTTTATTATTGATGCCACGGGCACTGTCCGCGCACGTCTCATAACTCAACAGAGTGATAATGGGTAGCTTTTTCGATCAAATTTTTCTGAATATTTCGTGATAAAAATACTTTTACTTGAAGAATTTAAATTATACAAGTTTTTTTTAATATTTTTTTAAAGAATGAAAATATAGAATCGCAAAAAACTTAAACGTAACTTTTACAATCCAAAGATTGATTTTCTAGTGATTTTCTGTAAAACAATTGAATCAATGAACGAAAAATATGCACATTTTTGAAAAGAAAATGTTTGAGAAGTCACAAGAAACAAAACAAACTTTAAAACCAACCGTTATATGTTGATATATTACAATTTAAAATTTCTTAAATGTTTTGAAGCCTAGACTCTTAACATAATGTTGCTGTTTTTTGGTCTAGAGTAAATATTTGTTAAGTTTTGTGATGAAATTTTTTTGTAGAGCCGAAAAATCCTGTTCTCGTTTTAATTGTAACAATTGTTTTACGCAAATCATGATTATTGTTTTGGTAATTGAAGCATTAAGAAGCGACTCAAATTTATTATTTTTAAAATTTTTTATGTTTATGGATCAGATTAGTTATGAAAACATTGCAATCTTTTACAACTTTTATTTGTAGTTTCAATTTGAATATTTCATAATTTATATTAATATCATAAAAATGTTTGATTTTTTATTAAATTTAGGAAAATCACCGGTCCATTGTTTCAAGTGAAATGGCAATTATGAATCAAAGTATTACACCTATTTTTATATTTTTTATATATAGGTTTTCAAAAATAATATTTTTATAAAATATATAAATAACAAAAAATTTATTTAATTATTTATTGAAATGCATATTTTTAGTTACTTCAATAATTACGATTAAGTGTTACATTTTTTTTGCATCACTCACAAATGTTAACCAGTAATCATTATCAATTTTTGGATGATATTTATATGAAATAAATAAAGCTGAACACAAAGTACAACTTATGAAATATAATGTTTTTATGAATATTATATAAAAAATTCTGGGATATGTTGTCATTGATGTTTTGTCACGTCTCATCTTATGTTGACCGTTATCTTATGTTGTCTCGTCTGATTCTTGAAATTTTTTTATACGTTCGTTATTTTTTGATTCCTCGTTGCTTACCATACTATTCAAAAATCATTTATCACTTATCATTTGGTAACCCTTGCTCCAGCTCATTTCTTGTCATTCATCAGTTTTCATTTTATTCTGCAGGTCTACTATCATTTTATGTCATTGAATTATGGGATTCCGTCACTACATTTTTTTAAAGTTTTATTTTTTTTAAGCGACACAGTATTTAAATAGTTACGATCTATATTACTGGTGATCGTACGTATTTTTTGAATTAGTGAATAATTTAGTGTTTCTATTACTGTTGACAATCGAATAAACGTTTTGACGAGTTTGCGTTTGACGCCGTTGTGTTTATCTATCAGAAATCTTGAACCTACGGAATATCGAAAACTTTACGACAGTGCATGCAACAACATTGGTGTCAGAAGTGAGATTTTCGAAGTCGCAAATCTTCGAAGTTGCAAATGTTCGAAGTTACAACACTGGTGTCAATATGACGATCGTCGAAGTTATTATAACAATAATTTTTAACAAGTTATTTTCATTTTTTTTCTATGTGACCTAAACCATTTTAATCTGGTGCATCTAATTACAGCGGTCAATTCTTCTATCACCCTTTATGAGTTTTCATTACCGAATCCGTTTTCAGCGAAAGTTTTGTTTTACGTTTGCAATTCTGTTTTTAGTTGTCTTCAGGGCTTCACACCATACAGCATAGAGTTTTTTATGCAAGTTTTGTATGTATATATATATATATATATATATATATATATATATATATATTTTAAAATTAGTTGTTGAATAGTTCCAACGTACAAATCAAAAGTCATTTCTATTATTCTATTCTCATTTCATATTGTCTGCATAGCTTAAAGTCGCAACTATCAGAACCCATGTTTTCCTGTTCTTTTGCAACCACATCTCTTTCTGTAGTTTCTCTTACTTTGCATCGTTTGCAAACAAGCTTTTTTACCTTGTTGAGATTTCATTTCAAGCCATAGCACCGTTTATGCGGTCACTTATGACATTCTGAACATAATATTGAGGTTCCCAAACATTTTTATCACAAACTGCGTATAAGAACTTATCTCTTTTTAAGATTTTCGGGTCCTCACCCTTCCAATCAACTTTTGTTTTACTAGAATTTATTTTCGGGATTTTTTTCTTTATAGCTGTACTCCACATCAGTAACTTCAAACTTCTTTACTAAACCATTTTTACTATTATAATAAATATCGTGTCGAGTTTTTATGATGCCGACCAACCTTGAGATAGAACAGTTGTCTATAATGTTGCTAATCTTTACTACAGTTATAGCTCTAAGTACATGCATACCACAGTTACTCCAAACCATTCCTTTACTCCTCTTCCTTAGTGCCTATCAGACCAATTCTTCCAGTACTTTTTTATGGTATAGCACAATCGGCTGTTCAAGACAATTTTGATGCAAGGAGGCCAAATCTTGATTACAAATTTTGACGGGGGCCATTTGGAATGAAAAAGCTGGCGATTTTTTTTGCTTCAAGTACAGTTTTTTTTTTTGTCAAATTTTTATTCAAATGCTTTGAAATAATTCTTCTTATGCGCACCAGCAAAGGTTTCATCAACATGTTTGCAATTTATTAATATATAAATATGTATATATATGACTTAACATCCTATATCTGCCACTGTATAGTATTTTTTGTTTTCTTTATATTTTTTCAGAGTTTTCCTCAAAATATTTTTATATTTGCCAATATGAACGCCAAATTGCGTTTTGTTAGCCATTACTTGAACTCCAAATTTTTTTTCTGAAATTCTTCTGGCTCTTTTGTAGTAAGTTCGACTTCTTACAGTTTCATCACTCCATGGGTTTGACAATCTGATGGATTCCCATCACATTTATAGATGAATTTTCAAACTTCTCCTAATCTTCCAGGGTTTTTTTTTCATAACTTTTCTGTTGAACAAGTCGCACGGAGATTCAAAATGACTACGAAATTTCTAAGTGGAAAAATCTGTTTGCTTTTAAAATACTTTAATTTTGATTTTATATTTAATTGAGTTATTAAACAAATGTAATTTTCTAGTAGAACAAATGATCATCCTTATTAATTTAAAATTTGTTAACCAAGATGTTGAAATCGATATGAATGTGGAGGAAGAGGAAGAGAAGCGTAGACTCATCGGTCAGGTGCTTGAGCTTCAAAATACTCTTGATGGTATTTTATTTTTTTTGTACATTTGTAATCATTTTCATGGCTAACCAATTTTTATGTCTTTGGATAATTTTTATCACACCCTGTTCATTTATAATGCTCTTTTGCTTGCCGTGTGGGATGGATGAAATTTAGGGAACTGGGTGGGGTATTGTGTGGAAAGAAATGGTCAGTGAAGATGAAAGGGAGGGTATATAAAGCATGTGTGAGAGCAGCGATGGTATATGGTTGTGAAACTTGGGTGTTGAGGAGAGAGGAGGAAAGTGTACTGCAGAGGGCTGAAAGAGCTATGGTGAGGATGATGTGTGGGGTTAAAGTGAAGGATAGGAGGTGTAGTACAGAGCTGATGTCAATGATGGGACTGAATGAGGACATTGTGACATTGATAGGGAGATCGAGATTGCGGTGGTATGGACATGTGTTGAGAAGGGATGAAAGGGTCGGGATTAGGCGAGCGTTGGAGTTCGAGGTTGAAGGAGTGGTAGAAAGGGGTCGTCCGCGATTGGGATGGAGAGAGCAGGTGGAGAAGGACAGGGTGAAAGCGGGGTTGCGTGATACTGAGGCGAGTGACAGATGTGGATGGGGTCGAGGGGTATTTCGGTTTCATCATAGGTAGCCAAACGGCAACCCCCGATCTCGGTGAAAATGCCGTCTAAACGTGTGTTGTTGTTGTTGTTTTGCTTGCCTAAAAACTTCTATCCTGTGTTTTTTATTTATTTTGTTTTTAAAAACATAAACATAGCAGTAACAAAATGATGAGACTCAATATAAAGATCTTTACTCTTGCAATAATCAAAAAAGTAAAAGTGCCAAGACGTCAAAATAAATGAGAATAGTGTTTGTTTTTTGCTAAATGGCTTCAGTCCATTTCTGAATCCATTCACATTATGTGGCAATATTACAAAAACGCACTTTCTTCGTTGAAAAAATAATTTTTTATGAAACTTTCCCTCCATAAAATCGTTTCCTGCTTGTAGTTTCTGCTTTAGATTGCACTCATCCCTGCTTTGCAGGACACGGAACATTTTCATCAAAGCACTCTTTATCCTTCCATAGCCTGAATTTTTATTTTTTTTTCTAAATTTGGTTACAATTTTTGCTAAATTAATTGCTAATTGCTAAACAATTGCTTAATTGCTAAATACTGTCAAATATCCGCACAAACATTTAATTTCACCACCACAATTCAAGTGAATCTTTCCTATATTGTATTTTGTCAGCTGACTTAATCGTACCACATTTCTAAACATTTCTTCGTGTTCAATTAAACGTTCATCACATTATCATTATCATTATCAAAAAGGCCTGGGCAGAGCCCTTTGCCCCAACTAAAAACAATGACATAATAAAAGAACGTTTTCAAAAATAAAGGATGTGAAACAATTAAAGTCGTATAAATTATTGTTCAATGTCTACACCAAACGACCAAACACGAAATTAAAATTTAAGCAATTATTTAATAATTAATCAAGCTGACACAAATTTTTTATCACCGTAAAAGTCATCTAGTTT